AGTAATGGATGCGAGTGAAAAAGCTTGTAAATACACGACGATCCCTGTTTAATTAATGTGGAGCAGAATAAGGCCGTTTCAGGCCTAACTTTAACAAATAAAAATCATTTTTGAGTGCTTGCCTTGGATTCAAATGTGCAACGTGCTTGACCAATCAGAGAGCTTAATGCAATTAGCATCGGTAATCTCCTAATCGGTATTTCAATTTTCATTTGACACTCGGCAATCTGGCACGTGCTTACTGTCAAGTTGGATTCGTTACCGAAAGCCGAAGTACCGTATCTTAGGCCTCGGGAGCAAAATAGTTGTTTCTTCATTTTTCGTTCTATTTTTTCACCCCTTACGATGTCTAAAGAAAATACTGTCATACACAGCTAAATTTAAATTAAGTGTGATTAATTATGCAAAAGAGCATGGAACAGAGCTGCCGAAAGATATTTTGGTCCTCCACCAACAGAAAAAATGATTCGTTGCTGGCGCGAACAAGAAGAAGAATTGAAAATGATTAAAAGTGATAAACGCAATTTCCGAGAAAAAAAAACACAACAAAATGGCAAGATCTCTAAAATAAACTGTACGAATGGGTTGTGAATCAAAGAAGGCAAGGACTATCCGTTTCTACAAATATGATAATTTTTAAAGCAAAGAGGATTGCATGTGATAATAGTTTAAAACATTTTACTGGTCATACATCGTGGTGTTATCGGTTCATGAAACGCAAAGGCCTAGTTATGAGAACTAAAACGAAAATTGCTCAAAAAATGCCCGATGAGTTTGAGATGAAAATTTGTGCTTTTCACAAGTATATTATACAGTTAAGAAAAAACTCCATTTGAATTGTCTTAAATGAAACACCTTTAACATTTGATGTTCCAAGCAACAGAACAACTGATATAAAATGTACTAAAACTGTTACTGTTAAGACTACTGGACACGAAAAAACGCATTATACAGTGGTGCTAGCATGTTGTGTAGATGGAACAAAATTACCACCAATGTTAATTTTTAAAAGAAAAACAATGCCCAAAGAAAATTTACCCAGTGGTGTCTACGTTCACGTACATGAAAAAGAATGGATGGATGAAGACGGAACACTACTTTGGTGTGAAAAAATTTGGTCGAAACGTCTAGGAGGCTTATTTAAAAAGCCTTCTCTTCTTGTCTGGGATTCTTTTAGAGCTCATGAAACGGTAAAAATAAAGGAAAAAGCTAATGATCTAAAAACACAGCTGGCTGTTATACCCGGCGGTTTAACAAGTCAACTGCAACCTCTCGATGTTTCTATTAACAAACCCTTTAAGACTTTAATGAGAGAGGAATGGAACAACTGGATGCAGCAGGAAGATTTTGCTACGACCTCTACAGGACGAAGGAAGAGACCGGCGCATGCTCGGGTCTGCATGAGGGTGAAGAATTCGTGGGAAAAAGTAAGAAGTGATATAGTGATTAAGTCATTTAAGAAATGTGGTATCAGTAACGCAATGGATAGGACCGAGGATGACATTCTCTTTGACCATAATATTGGATCCAATGATTCCTTTCCAAGCGGCAGTGAAAGCAATGAAGATTTTGTAGGTTTTGAACCAAACTAAATAAAAGTAAACTTTTTTTTTTTTTGATTTACGGTATTTTCTTATTTTGATGTGTTGAGCTCTTTTGTGTTTAGTACAATATATACTAATTTTTAAAGTATCAAATTGAATTTTTGTTCAATAAAAATCTTTTAAAATGCGACTGTAGCTTTTTTCCCCAAAAAACTTTGTCTTCAAAATAAGGGTGCGTCTTATATTCCGAAAAATACGGTATATGGGTTATGGCATATAAAAATTTCTAGAAAGTTGTCCCTTGTAAGTGTTTCCTCACTTCTTTTGAAACAGGTATAAAAACTATAACCAGACTGAGAAACAACTATGTGCTATAATGGTTTAAGTTACTTTCCTTAGAGATTTAAAAGTAAAACTACAGGTTGACGGAGATAAGCACTTTGAAGTTGGTGAGTTGCTGTTTTGATTATGATTGGGACGCTCTGGATAGCTGAAAAGCGGCATTACACCGGAAATAAACCTGTATAGAATAAAATCCAGATGATATTTGAATTGCTTTAATACTAGCGTCCGGAAATAGAAAGTGCTAGTGTACTCTCTGATACTCCACACAAAAACTGAATACCCTATCCGTTTTTATGTTACATGTTCCAAAGAAAACTGTTACTTCAGTTATGCTTTACTGACGAAAAATATTATAAAATAGTTGTATGCACGAGCTCAGATAGGATGTGTCTTTAAATCATAGTGTAGGTTAAAAGGGCTCTTTAACTTGAGTTAATAACAACATTCATTGAACACCTCCCTCATGCTATACGAGTTCACTGTCGAGATATAACCAGGGGTATATTAGATCAACCACTAGAAGGCTCTGCAGTCAGATAATAGAACACCTTAACCCTAATACCTACGATACCAGTAGTATTACTAACCACAATACCTTAACACTAATGCTAGAATATATTGCCATCAAGCTACGAAACCAACTATTAACCAGAAGATGAGTGCACTGCCGCTACACCTTCAATTCTAACAGAAGATGAACTTCGATCGTTACTCAACAATAATTGTATACACTAATTTAAAGTCGCATTGTATAAGGTTTCTTCGTTAAATTACCTTAACCATTAACAGTCGGAACTCAGTAATAAACTACCTCAGCCATTAACAGTCGGAATTCAGTAATAAATTACATCAGCCATTAACAGTCGGAACTCAGTAAATAATTACATCAGCCATTAACAGTCGGAACTCAGTAATAAATTACATCAGCCATTAACAGTCGGAACTCAGTAATTAATTACATCAGCCATTAACATTCGGAAATCAGTAATGAATTACATCAGCCATTAACAGTCGGAACATAGTAAGATTTTCTCTTAGTTTTTCAAAGCAATATATGAGATATTTATATTTTCCTGTTTTCAGAAACTTTAGCAGCGACATCTGTTAGATACAATCACTGTTATACATTTTATACGTGGTTTTAACAAGGAATTAATACTGAGTAAAATTAAGATTTAATTTCATGCGAGATTGTTTGTTTTCTCAGAAAACAGAGAGACGTTTAGACTTTCACAGATTTACAGAGAATACTCATCGTCAATTTTTAATGTGGGAGAATCAAGTTTCAGAAGAATATATTAGTAGAATTTCACTGTATTTTATTACGTTTCGTTGTTAACGTTTCGACTTCTGTAGAAGTAATAAGTTCTTAGTTATTTATATTAACTAGGAAACTCGCTGGACCATAGCTCGTTCCTGAGTTCCTACTTGTAAATTAATATTAAGCCTAGAATTACCTATAGACATCATTGGCTTCTGAAACACCTTTATCTAAAGTATTTATGAACCAGTTGCTTGTTGGTTCATGACTTTGTGACTATAGAGCTCATATGAACCAGTTGCTTGTGGGTTCATGACTTTGTGACTATAGAGCTCATATGAACCAGTTGCTTGTGGGTTCATGACTCTGTGACTATAGAGCTCATATGAACCAGTTGCTTGTGGATTCACGACTTTGTGACTATAGAGCTCATATGAACCAGTTGCTAGTGGGTTCATGATTTTGTGACTACAGAGCTCATATGAACAAGTTGTTGTGGGTTCATGACTTTGTGACTATAGAGCTCATATGAACCAGTTGCTTGTGGATTCGTGACTTTGTGACTGTAGAGCTCATATGAACCAGTTGCTTGTGGGTTCATGACTTTGTGACTATAGAGCTCATATGAACCAGTTGCTTGTGGGTTCATGACTTTGTGACTATAGAGCTCATAATATAAGCCACACACAAAAGTACTTCCTATTTTACAACCAACCTCACTAATTACTGCTTTAATTAATGCTTCCATTAAAGGGCAATCACACGCTGCTTACCGGCTAGACAATTAAAACCAATTTCTAATTATGCAGTTATCCGGTATCTCGGTACATCAATCTGTCCTTGATTTAACATAGCAATGAAACGACTACATGCAACATTTTGTGGTGTGTGTACAAACACGGTAATTTGAGGATTTAACCCTTACCCGAAAGCCATGTTGGATACGACCTACTGTATAAGGAAAAGCCCCTGCACCATGAGCAAAGCAAACCTTCAGTTTAGGAAACTTTTCAAAAACTCCTCCGAATATCATACTGCATATAGCAGTGGTAGTCTCTGCTGGCATACCTGAAGAGAGGTAGAAATAAAACATTACTACTCCTTGTTAATACAGTGAATTAGGTTTGGTTATTTAGGAAATATGTTATAAGGATAATACACAAATTTAAAATTCTCGTTATTTTAAAAAAATATTAGGCTCGTCTAATTATAAACTTTCATAATAATATTTAAAATAAAGTACTTTTTTAAGATCGAAAGTAAAATTCTAGCATTGTATTAAAATCGTCCTGGTAACTGGAGTAATGGTGTTAAAAACTGACAAGTGTCAGCTTACCATTAAAAAAAATTGTTTGGAACATTATAGTGGAAAACTCATTTCAAGCCCGATTAACTAACATTATAAAGTATAGATGGCGCTTTTGGATTGAATTTAAGCAGCTTTTTCAATTAAAACGTACCAGAAATTATTAAATATTCGTGATTATTTTGACGATTTCAGATATTTTGGGCGATATCTTATCATTAGCATTTCGGAATCGTCTATTTATCAATGTTTTCATCCATGAGTGGACTTTTTAAATGAATATTTGATTACTATATGGTTCGGTGTCAAACTGGACTTATGTTAGAACTCAAGTCCATCAGAAAGGACTGGAACATATCATTTTCAGTTTGATCCAAAGTGTTCGAAGACCCCACGAATTTAAAAACAGAATTAAGTTATTCATTAGGACAAAACAACTTGATACTAACGTAAGCAGAATAAAAAGTGGATTTTATGAAATGTTAACGTCTGTTGTTTAGTATCAGGAGTGGCCTAGTAGTTAATGTGCGCGGAGAGTCGTCCCAGTGCTGCAGTATCGCGCTCAACCTGTCGGTATACTATAGGAGTAAAAGATTGATTGTTTGTTTGTTTTTGTATTTCGCCCAAAGCTACACATGGGCTATCAGCGCTAGCCGTCCCTAATTTAGCAGTGTAAGAAGGCAGCTAGTCATCACCACCCACCGCCAACTCTAGGGCTTCTCTTTTACCGACGAATAGTGAGATTGACCGTCACATTATAACGCCCCCACGGCTGAAAGGGCGAGCATGTTTGGTGGAACGGGAATTCGAATCCGCGACCCTCAGATTGCGAGTCGAGCGCCCTAACCACCTGGCCATGCTGAACCAGGAGTAAAAGCCAGATTCCTCTGACCGGTCAAATAAAAGCAGTCAAAGTGTTGGTAGTGAGTGATGTTGACTAGCTGCCTTACCTGGGTACTGTTGACTAGCTGCCTTACCTCTAGTCTATCATTTAAAAATTAGGGACGCCTAACACAAGTAGCCCTCGTACAAAACAAGAACAAGCAACACCCAAACTAGTATTTCATATACAAATTCTAAAGTTTGTGGATACATAAAATTTCTAAAATTAAGAATAGATAATAAAATCAAGAAGAAATAAAGCAAAAACTAAAAATTTCGTTTTTGAAATTTCGCGCAAAATTACAGGAAGGCTTTCTGCGCTAGTTAACCTCTAGTCACCGCCAACTCTTGGGCTTCTCTTTAACAACGAATAGTGGGACTGGCCATCACTTTATAACGTCCCCACAGTTGAAAGGGCTGGGAGCATATTCGGTGATAGGATTCGAACCCACGACCCTCAGATTACGAGTCAATGGTCCTAACCATCAAGCCATGGCAGGCCCTAAAGTTATAAAACGTTTCAGAAATACCAAACTTTGCCCAACCCACAGAGAAAGAAAGCAAAAATAACTTAACATTCAAATAACCGAACTGAAAAAAAAAAATATTTCCCGCTAGTCTCAAAATTAAGAATGGCTAAAGCACGTGCTAACTTTTAGGCCACGTTTACAAACTGCACAACACTAACGTAAAGAAGCAAGTTACTTATATCACTTGACTGATGAAAGAAAAGGACACTGACACTGTACAGACTCGAAAAACTACTGTCCTCTTAACTAACTTTTTTAAGTATCTCTCAAATGAATTGTATTTATAATATATCCTCGAATATACTACAAAAACCCGACTTCAAATCTTTAGAAATTTCTAGGCCTAGTTTAATGTAATTATTATAACCCGCAGCTCCCTCTAGATAAAAAACAACAAATTATAACATTTAAAATATAGTTTACAACAATATTTTACAACCACTGATAATTGTCAGAAGCAGATTATACATAATAATCTCGTTTGGTAGATTTTTTTTTCTGTTTACGAAATCGAGACTCGACACCCAGTAGACATTTTGTGAACTATAAATATATTACAGTGAGAAAAGTTTCTCAAATGTATCTATAACGCTTTATATAATTATTTAACAAGCTTTAGACCACTTTTTCTACTTTAGCTTTTCTACTTTATTACACAGATGCAAGAACGCCAGGAGAAAAAAAATGGGGGGGGGGCAAGTAACTCAAGTTTGAAAAAATTTTGAAATCGAAATGCAAATACCTTATGATTTTCCAATAACGCAGAAGAATGATGTGTACATATCCAGTAATTTTTTTCTTTTTGAAAATTCACGGGGGAGGGGTCAAGTGACCCCCCCCTTGCCCCTTCCTGCGGGCGCCCATGCACAGATGCTATAAAAAAAAAGATGATAAATACTTTTTTTTTGTCGTTTAAATGAGTTAATAAAAATATTTACTGCAGCCCATCTAAAAGCAGAACAAGGTTCTTTCGTTGCCATGATAAAAGGGACAATTTCTACATCTCGTCTTATAACTATGTCTAATCCTACTCCTGGGAAAGTTATAAAATGTAAAATACTTAACTTGTTGTACGTCCCCTTATTTAAAATCGAGAGCCACGAGTAGAGTACGTTTAATTAACTTTAATTATAACACAACTCACTCAACTCGCAATCTGTGGGTCGCGGCTTCGAATCTCGTCGCTGAACATGCTAGCACTTTCAACCGTGGGGGTTGTTATAATGTGACTGTCAATTCATTGGTCAAAAATAGCCCAAGAGTTGGTAGTGAGTGGTGTTGACTAGATGCCTTCTCTCTAGTCTATCACCTCTAAATTAGGGACGGCTAGTGCAGATAGGCTTCGAGTAGCTTTGTGCGAAATTCAACAATGACAACGGTTTTATGCACGTTTTTCTCTACACTATTTAGTAATGGTGCATAAAATTACAGTTCTGTTGTGTTTACGTTCATAAGTGTAACCTTTTGAAAATAAACAATGAACAAACCGCGACGTAACATAAAGAAATCCAAGCAATCTGCTTTTAAATATGCTTCTTTTATAGTTGCTATAGTCACGAAAAAATACACATCACACACACACATAAAGGCACGAGAACTTACCCACGAGCCAAGGCAGCCAGTACTTGGACATTCTTCCTCCTTCTTCCATGTCCCAAGGATGTACAAACACCGAACAGTCTAAGTCTTCTGCTGTCTGTGTTTGATTTCAAACAGAAGCGTTTAGAAAATGACAAGGTAAGTGAAATATTATAAAATTGTAAGCGTGTTTTATTTCATATTTTGTTAAACTGGTTTCCTTAACAAGTTTTTTTTTGTACCAATTACTAGGCTCGTGAAAACGCCACCTGTGGACGGTTCAAAAGAAAACTTTCTTTGAGTAGCAGAATGTCCGCCTCCCAGTGGCTCAACGTTAAGTCTGCAGATTTACAACACTAAAAATCGGGCTTCTCTACCCGTGGTGGGCAGAACACAAATAGCCCATCGTGTAGCTTTACCAATAACCAAAACAAGCAGATTTTATTTTCTTTTATTAACACCCTCCCTCTCCCCGGTGGCATGGCAGTAAGTCTCAGAGCTTATAATGCTAAAAATATGGTTTCGTGCAGTTAGCAGAGCACAGATAGCCCACTGAGTAGGCCAGATTAACAGACACATACATACATACGTTGGTATCGATCGTTAAGTAGAAACAACAATTATAAGAATATGATAATATTTCATTCTTGCTGATAGAACCACAGTTACAAATTCAGTTAGTTCTAAGAGACACTTCGAACCTTTTACTTCAAAGGAGAGAGAGAGAAAAGGGTTAGAGCATTTCTTTAGGAAGTTAAACAAAAAAACTTACTCAACTGATAATACGTTGGACTATTTACTTTTATTGGTTTTGTTTTCTTAGTGCAAAGTTACACAACGGGCTATCTACACTTTGTGCACATTAGGGAATCGAACTCCTGATTTAACTGACCCCCCAGAAGGGGGGATATTTCCATTTATTAACCTTGTAATCACGTACCTTGTAAACAATAATCGAATCACGTACCTTGTAAACAATAATCGAATCACGTACCTTGTAAACAATAATCGAACCACGTACCTTGTAAACAATAATCGAACCACGTACCTTGTAAACAATAATCGAATCACGTACCTTGTAAA